ATATATATATATATATATATTTTTTTTTTTTTTTTTGTCCCTCTTTTGTTTTTCCGATTATTATTTTTTCTTCTTTCCATATTCTGTTTAATGGTGCTGTAAGTTGAGTATTCATATCTTGTCCTTCATTTTTCAACACAATGCTTGTGATTTCAACCAGTCTTGTAGCTTTATTGTTTTAAATTTTTCTTAAAATAGTTTTAAGCTCTTGTGGCATTTTTTTCTACATCCAACTTTTGACACCTTATTGAACTATAGTCTCTGTTAGAAGATGAAATAGATAGCTAGAATCAATACGCTGTCAGCTGTTGATCTCCCATTTTAATCATTCAGACTGTATGTGTAGGTTTTGTTTTTACATCTTTTTGTGTCCCTCTTTATTTCACTGGTATTTTCTTTATGAATAATTCCTTTCTTTTCCTGTGTTTTTCTCTTCTTTTCCTTCTTATTGATTTTACCAGCTTTGCATAGTCTGCTATTATTATTGAGCCTTTATATTGTTGTTCTCAGTTCTTTCATATATTTTTTTTACCTAGTTCTTTTGTCATTTTGTCAGATTTTGCCTGGAGGGTTTTTTTGTTTTTTTCGACAATATGTTATTTCCATCACCTTTTCCTTCACAGTCTGTCAATTTCTCATTAAATTCTTCAGTATTACACTCTACAATGTTCTGAGACTGAAATTAATTTTAATGCTATTTCAAAGGTTTCATGTTCTTTTTTAATTTGGAGACGCTTATTATTTTCCACTTTGCAATTATCTTCGGTCATGCAAGTGTTTTGCAGATTTGCGTCATTATGTGCACCATTCTGTAATCATTTGCAGTTTTTCCTTTTCTAATAATTTCCATTTGATTACGCATGATAAAATGTAATCGGTTGATAGTTTTTCTGTTATGACTTTCCCATGTGAAGTGCTTTTCTTTTTCTGTCTGCTGTATTGATCATATTGCATTTGGCATGTTCAACCAACTGCTTTCCTCTATCATTTTGAGTCCCATTGTATAATAACTCCAAGACTGTTACCCCACCTTTTATTTGTGTTCAGATTTTCACATTGTACTCATACATGAACCTCCTTTAAATATACCCTGAATAGAAGACACAGAGTATATGGTAGTCTTTTGGATTTACATGAAGGAAAAATAAAATCTTGCACTCATGTAGAACCATAAAAAGAAAAGAGGAAAAAATTTAATTTATCTAATGACACGAGAGAGAAAATCATTTTACATAACATGCAAGCCAGTATGGTAAATATGTTCTCATACATTCTTGTGTACCTGTTCCCTAAACATTAAGTAAAAGAAATAAACATTAATAAATTAGTCATGAACTGACCAATCAGTTTTTTCTACACTTTTTAACTCCAAAACAATGGATCAGTAGTAATAACAGTATTTTGACTCTATAATTACTGCAACTTTATTTCTTTGTCAGTTGACTTTCAGTTTTACTTGAATAAACCTTGCAATAGTAGAACTGGGACTTTATAACATTAATTTAATGCTCTTACAGGGTAGAGTTTTTAAAATGTAGATGTATGGTGGCTGTAAGTATGAGAAGTGATTTCATTCCACCAGTTTGAAATTGCATTGTCAAAAAGCCAAATTATGAATGAAAGCATCATACCAAATGCCATCTCACTGTTTTCCATTTTATAAGAATGAAAACTACATTAAGTAGAAAATAAAAGCTATCAACATGTTTTGTATATTCCTTATCATACCATAAGACATAATACTTTGTATTTCTATGTAAAATATATATTTGCTTTGCTTTATATTTTTTTTTATAATTAATTATTTTGTGATTTTTATTTTATGATTTTCTTACTTAAACATCTTTTTAAAGCATGAAAAAATTTAAAAAATAACACTTCTTTGATCATTATACCATAACACTCAATGTGAGACCATCAAGGTTAGTTACTATAATGTTGTTGTTTTACATTGTTTTCCAGTTAAATTTAGGTATTGAAAAAGGGTAAAAAAAGTATATTTCAAACTTACTTAAATGAAAACAATGTTTTATGTTCGTAAACAACCAGATTTCTTTAACTTTTAGAATACAGTTTTGTACTTGTTACAAAATACAATGAAGATTAATCTATTTAGAAGAGTATTTTCTAAAAGTAGTGTTATGTAAAATAAGCTTATTTGGTAAAAAATCTGAGAATGATATTCTAGATGCAACTAATTTCATTATCTTTTATGTTTGTTAAAGGCTTACAGTTTTGTGTATACTGTAACAAAAATTTGCTCTGTAGGTAATTTGATTCAACTCCATGTTTAAATTGTTTTTGTTTTTTTAAGTAACACAGTATATTCAGGCTTTTGAATATTATATACTTGTTTTAATTGCTAAATGGCTTGTTTGTATCTAATATTTCTTCTCAAGTAAACATTAACACTATATTAAATTTACCTATCTGAAATATTTTTTCTAATGCAAGTTTACAAAATATGTTTAAATTCAACTAAGTTACTAAATCTAAACATTTTTCTCTTCTCATATCGCTTAAGTGTGGACACTTTAATGCTCCAAAGATTTTTAGATAGTTTTTTATTTTTATTGTTGAAATTTTAAATCTTACTGTAAGTAAGAGCCAGATGTTTTGTATTGCTTATAGATACATGGTATAGAGCTAGGGAATACAAATATTTCTTATTTGTTTAGAATATTTCAGTACTAAAGTACCTAAGCCACCCGTCAGAGAACTTTTGGAATTGGGGCCCCTTACAGTTGTGTTTCAGTAAGTACATTCAAGATATTTGATTTATTTAACTTAAACATTATGGACAATGAACTGCTTTAAATAGCTTTTAATCTATATATATATATACACCTAGGAAAAAAGTTAAGCACCCCCGTTGTTTTTTTCAAGTGATT